ATGTATGAGTAATACAGTATTTCCCTGTTGGTATGCACTCAATTATCGGCCGATATACGATATGCTATATCGGTCACCCATTACTACAAGACAGATTTGCCTATTGAGTGGGATCAAATTCCGGTTACAGTCTGAACAGGGAAACAACTGATGGAAGCTGTCAAATTAAATTAGTCATGATATTTATTGAAAACAACAGTGTATTTTACGGGCTGTACCCCGAGAGACACAGTTGTCCCAATTTTATAGCAGTCAGTTTCCTTGCTATTTTTGACATAGTACTAACTAGAAAGAGTATAATGCACACTTGTATATACAGCTATTTTCAAAATATAATATACATATTTTGGGAAGTGTATTATTAGATGAATAAATAAATTAGTGTACTATTTTCAAACGCGTTGCAGCTGACATTTTAGGAAAAAGAAATTCCCTGTATGTTTTAATTTACTGTCATGTTACACTGCATTATGATGAGTGTCCACAATGAATAAATAAATTAACGGTTTTCCAAATCCAGGTAGCTTAAGTTCTCTGCATGATTTAATTATTAGTATTGGGGACACTGACACTGTTTTATGTTATGTATTGCTTCTTCGTGAAGAGATTGTTTGTTCAGCACAGAACCGGACAACATGCAAGTAATGTTACAAAATACACTTAAAAATGGAAAAAAATATACCGTAAGCATATAATCACCATAATAATAATAATAATGAGGGCATACTTTGGTTTCACATAAGGTTCACAAGAAATACAGACAGACGTACCTTTCTCATATAACAATTCCCCTATCAATACAATACAATACAATACAATACACTACGCATCAAAAACATTCAACTCCAAAAAAACACAAACGCCACACATTACCACGCTATGGCATTTCTACTAGTTGACCTCAACACTCTGCAGCTGATGACGAGTACACTACTTGTGCGATCAAATAATCAATCATGTCAAGTTCATTTGCCAAATTTATGCTTAGTCGCATGTTGAAACCAATCTGTCTGGTAATTTTGAAAGAAAACAACACATATTTCCAGGTATGGGAGGTCGTTCCAAAAAGTTAAAAAAAAAAGAAACATCCTACAGCGGTTTTCGAGTATCTCAAGACAAGTAATAATAATTACGATTACATGTCTTTGCTTACATTCTTGGTGGCCACTTTGGAGCATATTTCAGCATATGTGGACACACGGAATCAATGGACTGCACACTTTTAATTCCTTGATTATCTATATACAGCGCAGTTTTGCAAGTATTAAATGTTTGCATAATCGTCTATTACTCTTCGCCAATGTTGAAAATCAATATTACTGTAACAGTATCTCAATTCATCTCAACTTCCAGATTATGACTGGTTAAGATGTCATTTTTAGTTTATTGATTCCATATTAGCCGTTATCGGCTCAATTCGGGGTGCAGTATCGTTATCTGAGCAGATAAAATTATTTATATAAGTTGAATGGTCAACAATGTATGTAAAAAAGTTGTGGATTAAAGCACTGACAAATCATTTATTAGTTGTGAAGTGACACTTTTTCAAGTTATTACCGTTGGCATGTATGAAACAACCAATAAATATATTAAGAATTTAGCTTTATTTGTATTTTTCGCCGAAATTAACTAGGAACATTACTGTTGACTATATTTCAGAACCAGAACAAGCTAGAGTGAACAAATACGTAAAAAAAAACTTGTTGGGATTAACTGAGTATAGGATCAAAGTAACTGTAACAAAATATCTAGTGGGATTTTGATAGGATAGATAAATAGGGCGTTGACATTGAACTTGTTTATTTTAGGAATGATTGACATTACGTGTTCCACATTTGGCACAAGAATAAAAACAAACACAACTAAATAATATAACATGTCAGTTGTAGCATGCAAATGATCAACAATACGTGATTACGTTCAACCAACTTCAAAGTATCTAACCAAAAACCGGAGTGCAATTACTTTTTTTTATAATTTGCTGTAAATATACACATCATAAAATATGATATAACCACCTATTGTGAATAGTTGATTATTGTTCATCTGCCATTTAAAACAATAAATAAAAGATGATTTTTTTTATGATAGCTATATCAATAGCTATATCTAATCATGAAAAGACCAAAGCTATGTTATAAATTGAATATACAAAAAAAAAAAAAAAAACAGTGGTAAAAAAACAGCTCTTATTGTTATGATGACAATGATGACTTTTCTCAATATACAACATCTCAATAGATGCTCACCAATCATCTACATTTTACTGTAACAACACATTCAATATGCAAATTATATGCATCATTGTTCTTTTTTTTTATTTTTGATAAATTAAACAACATGATAAAGATTTGGCTAACTGAATGTGAAACCGAACAATGTATTCGTATACATATATACTAGCTTAACACTCTTCCATAATTGTGGATGACCTGTTGAAGCCCGTCAACTTACTGGAAATAACCATCATATTCACAAACTAAAAATGTCCACCAAATCACAAATCATTCTTGACATATTAAAGAGAAAGAAGAGAAAAAAGGAGAACCTCTGAAGCTTGTAACCATAAAATACCACACACAGTTAGTAGCTTTACTCCAGGGTCCACTAAAAGTTCAACCAAGCAGTTGTCCAAAAAATAAATATGTTTAGTCTACTATAAAAAGTGTGGTTTCATAAATAATGTGATGTTAACATTCTAGAAAAGGTATAACTCAAATTAAAAATAGTACTGATATATATATGTGTGTGTGCTTGAATATTTGATTGACGTTTGTATGATACAATTTTCTTGGAAATAATTTGCTTTGCCTTTGTGTATTCGCATGCAGCCGGAAGTTTTAAATAAATCAGTTAAAAGCAGAAATAAAAATTCTTCATACATAATTTCAGTAAATATTTCATTTATATAACTTGAAATCATGGAAACTACATGTGTGTCAAAGGCGATACTTTTAATTTACCATCATCGCTTTTTCTACACGTTCACGGCAAAACCCCACTCCTTCTCTTACATTCGGGGTATACATTTCCAAGCTCATTAGCTATGCCCGGGGTTTAATTTTCGACGTTACAGCAATGTCCCACTCACTCTTACATCTGGTGTTTACCTTTCCGAACTCATACGCTATGCCCGGGCCTGTAATACATTTGCAGCTATTTTAAAGACACGACTATCCTAAATATTAAAATAGATTGTTGTCAAGTATAATAACACTATTACACAGATGATAATAATGTCATTTTTCTGATGTTGACCATGAGTTCTCAGAGATATAAGCATATGATTATGCCCTAGAATTATATATTGAGGGCGCACTCTGTGCTTACCTTTTTTAAACATCTGACATCACTTCACGTTAAAAATAAGGACCATAATTATACTCATTAATTTTCCACTGTGGTATCGTTGTCAGTTATTTTGTTTTGTTCTTGTCGATATTATAGTGCAATTGCAGTGTTCTTTTGATCTTTGATTTGTATTGACAATTAATGTGGATATAGTTTGTGTATGTTATAATCTTGAAATATTAATAACTTTACAAACCATGTGCGTCCTTTTCCCTCATGTTACCTTGATAATCTTATGATTTGTTTAAATATATCGAACTGCATTTCCCGATAATTGGTTAGCATGGTAACACTGTGTCGATAAAACCGTACATATATTGATATGTTCAGAAATAAACAAATTGATGCAATATATATACTTACGACAATCATGTAAACGAATTAGATTTTGATGGCGTTAATGATACATACAATTTTACCTTGTAATTCTACAGAATTATACTTACGGCGTAGAATAAAGCGGATATAATGTAATCACCCATAATGTGTCTTACAAGTTTACAAATATACCACGCTTCATACAATATGAGAACATATTTGGGAAAAAATGGAAAATATTTAAATTTAAACACTAGAAAGATTGTCTAATACATTCCAATGCAGTTTTCCGGATTAATGAAATAGTTTGTAAACACGTGCGTCATGCAACAGTCAATGAAATATCACACACATCTTAAAGAATGAAACCGTGTGGTTATGGCTGATCCACGTAACAATTATTTGTATCACTTCGCCGCTTAAAGACAGACCCATAACCCATAACATAACGGTTGGCTCTAATGAGTACCTGCTAAGTACAGACATGTTTACAGAGCTATTAGCGATGTACCCCCCAGGATAACCTTCGTATGGCCACTGGGCAATAATTAGATGCCGCAATGGATACTGTAGTATCTCAGGCTCTACTGATTTACGTACGTGAGGTCTTGAGTTTATCATGATAAATACGTTCCCGGGGAGGATCGATACAACCGTGAAACAATTAACGAGCGTACAGAAGTATCGCTGTTATAAAACATGCTTGAATTATTGATGGCATAGTGATGTATTCTGAATTATTCGAGAGTTTCTCAACTCAAGATTGTTCTGAATGATTGATCGCGTCTTGTGCGTTATTATTGAACCATTGAAATCATGATATGTGTCTGAATTCACTATTCATTGCATGATCTACTGTTCGTCAAGCCTGTATATGATGGCTGTAATCACTTGTTAGTACACACCCACGTGGACGACGGTCTTGTACGGGAATTTAAAGGCTAGACAATTGTTGATTTTGTTTAGTGTGTGTGTGTGTGTGTGTCTGTTCAGAGATACTGTGCACAATTTAAATAAAAAGTATAAAACGTTCCCTTTCATCATGCCGTTACAATAATTATATTAGAGCGTGTTTTTGATGTTTGTATTGGGGTCAGCTAAAAAATATATAATTTGTAAAAGGCAACTTTGTATTGACTTCAATATTGATATATCTAATTTTGAGTAATACAATGTCCACCTATATCTTATATATATCGTCAAATAACTAATGTGCGTTAACCATATTGAGCACATTCTACTAATAATTTTTAGTATCATGCGGTATATTTGTATATAAATTAATTTGATGATCTGCAAATTAATGTCTTTAATTGTTTTGTACCTAACAGGACGAACATGAAGTCTTTCTCCAAATAGGATCGTCTATTTCCCAACAAGTTGGGGCTTTGCTTGCATTTCTGGAGTATCACCACTGGTATCATTTTGCCATCATCACATCCCAGCTGCCTGGTCGCGTAGAGTTCCTCAGCGAACTTCAACATCGCACAATTGGGGAAGGCAGTGACCACGACAGCAGTTGGGAAATCTGCGAGACGTTTGCAATGGGAATCGGTGAAAATGACACCATAACCTCCACGTTGTCGAAGCTGACCAAAGGGGAATGCACCATTATTATTTTATTTGCTGATGCAGGGGAAGCGAGGGAAGTATTTAAAGTAGCCGAAGAATTAGATCTACTGACTTACGGCTACATATGGCTAGTTCTAGAACTTTCTCTCGGGGGACATGAGGGTATTCTTAAACCGCCACCGGAGTTTCCAGTTGGTCTAGTCGCCGTGAAATTTGAAGGTATAGACTACACAATTGACGATGCAATAGTAGATGCCGCTACTACATACACAACAAGACTGACTGGTTACCTTGCCGACGGCTATCAAATTGAGTTGGGGAATAACGCTGGATGTAAAGCGCAGGGTGGACACAGTTACCACGGAAGTAAATATTTCTATGACTACCTCACCAGAGATGAAATTCCATACAAAAATTTTGTGTTTGACAAACACGGTGTCGTTAAGAATCCAAAGCTCTCGATATTAAACCTGGATTCCTCGAGGACATGGAAAGAGGTATGGCCAATAACAGTTATTATATATTTTTGTTAAAAAATAATAATAATAAACAGATGATTTTGTAAAATCAGTAGCTTATTCACTGTTTAAAGAAGTGTAATTTCTTCCGTCAATAAAAATTACGACTATTACATCCAAGTGCTCTCACTCAATTTATCAAGTTCTTAAAAAAAATAATCGAATAATCGAAAGGGTACGGCGCCATCTATGTTCAGCCTGTGGTCTCAAAGTTGTTGTTCGTCTTAACTTCAAAACTAGTAATTCCATCTTAATGCAAAATGGCTTAAAATTTTGATGTATTTGTGAATTGTGGACAAATTACATGACAACAATGACACAATTGTGCAACCTGAACAGTTTTTTTTTACATTTACGTACATTTTTGATACACCTTCCTTTTAGATGATCTAATAATATGAGAAATAATAATACATATCCGGTGTGAGTCTATCACGAATCTATCGTCATCGATATGGCTTAAATTTTTAGGAAGTTTGCTTATGAAAAATGAATAACTAGGATATAACAATCGAAAATGAGAACAAAAATCTCTTAGAAACAAACTTATATGTAGATTATGGTTTATACTGCTATTATAAAAAAATAGTTATATAAAATTATATTTATATTTTACCCATTCATTGCCATTTATACGTAAAATGTCTACGCCATATTGATATGTGCATATTGGGAATATGGGCGGAATAATTTGCTGAACATATATGTTTAATTACTTCTTAAAAATGAAATAGCAAATAAATCTGACAATTAGAAGCAATCACAGCGCATTTTGCAGAAAAATTGCTGTTCCGATTATATAACATTTTCCACAAAGTGGATCATACTTATTATATTTATATTTATAAATTACTTAATTATCATTCGCGTTTTTATTTCGCCTAATGTATTATCATCTTAAATTAAAGCTATTTTGGATTTACATTAAAATTATTATAATGAAAATAAAAAGCATGTAAACATATATTTAAACTACATGAACAAATAGGTGGCATTGTACTCTTGTACACTTGTAAAGTTGCACAACTTAAGTACATGTATAGTTAGCAGCAATGGATCAAGGTATAATTGTATTAAGATTATTTATTATAAGATAATGATCAAACCCTGAAGTTGTTTGGATTACATACTATTCTTATTAACTGTTCGGGGAATGCGCTCCGCTTCACTTTGCACGCAGGTGGGCTATTGGCAGGACAATAACATGACAATGGCGACCGTGCTGTGGATTGGTGGCACTCATGAAGCGCCGAAGGGGCTTTCTCCACATAGGCATATGAGATTCACAACGATAGTGGAGGAGCCTTTTGTTTTGACTATTCCACTGGAAAAGAACGAGGTAGTTTGCAAGTACGGGGTCAAATGTGGTGAAAAAAACGAAACGACGAGGTAAGTGCACTTTCCATCCACTTCGGAATTTCTGAAGACCCAGGTCTATGTAATCAGGATCTTTTTTATTACATCCACCCTTATTGCCCCTCAGAAACCCGAACAAGCATATAAGTTGATCCTTCAAATGTCCCCTACGTCAATATTCTAATCTAAATGTTTTCCCTGAGTTGGTTTATCGATGTCGAAAGCCAATTTACAACAGTCGAACGTCGTATACACTACAGACACACACCAGAAATCAAATCATGTCATTCTTGATAAGTAGCAACAAACCTTATTTATAAAGACTCTACTGTCCGACTGTCAGTTTAATTACAAACTAAATGAATACGGGATTAGTAGATGCAATCTATTGCAATTAATTGTAATTGTCTAGCCATGTTCCCAGACATTATATGTCATACAGCAGAAGTCGAGAGACGGCTGTATTTTAAGGGTGCGCTGACATTTAGATCATTGCCTCATCAACGTTAGTACCATTTTTAAAGCTAGAGGGTCATCACCTGCGCACGCGCGCGAATTGAGTCTCAAGCGATGATAACAACACACGCTAAAAACGCAAAGGCTCGTGGGTAGACGCTTGTTTGTAAACATTGACACGCTATGGCCATCTGTCGCGTGCGCCGGTGTTGACTCCCTCACTTTAAATTTAGTAACATTCTTTCGATTATGCTTTATTTCAAAGAGCTTTTGATGTGACTTGATTCGTAAAGTGTATCCTATTTAAACATCGCATGGATATCACGACGAACCAAACCTTTTATTGATGTCTGCATGCTCTCACAAACATTATGATGATATATTTTTAAATAGTTACTTCCTGTCTATAATCAATATATATATATATATATATATTATGTATGTAATATATTGACGACGGTTAGTTTACTTAGTCACATAAGTTTAATTTGCAACGCTGGATCAATTATGCCCTTTAACCGCTGAGCATATGACATGATCTTTATGGAAACATTTTTGTATTGTCAGGTGCAATTCTAGTAGTATATCAGTGTGATGTGGTCATTGTATTATATGACTATATGATTTTATCATCGTATAATGAAATTCTTCCCTATTATATATTTTTTGTCAATATGATTTGTTTTTTGTACTTTTATTACTCACAAGAACATATTGAAGCTTATTTCCTTTGAACGTTGTACGCTATAGTTGTTATGTGTATGTATGTTTACTGCCGAAGTCATTTTGTTCCAAACTACATTGTTAAACTAAATGCCTAAACATCAACTAGCAGACTGTTTGCTGTGTGATACTTTCATTTATCAGGCTTTCGATGTGTTTTGTTACACATCCTCCACTTTGAAACTAAAGCCGGAATGTCGGGTAAATTGTTTTCTTGAATTTCCGTCTCTTCAATGAAACACAGACTGTAGTGTCGATTTTATGACTTGTCATGTCCCAACAGAGCGCCGATGTTGATTGAAAGGGAATTCAACAACACGCGTGAAAGATTGAATTCTTGCCCGACGATTTCTCAATACGCATTACACTTCCGCGCAATTCTCAACACTCCATCAAAATTGCAAGAGTTCCGGAACATTGGCGGTTGTTGATAACAAGACACATTCGACCAGGGTTCAAGATTCTCTAATAAAGTGTGGCTTTTACTGTACCTGATCGACTGACCAATGAACCACTATGTGTGCTGCTAACCATGTTTAGTATACAACCGTCACCATAACGCCATAAGTTACAGCGTGCCGTAAGTTTGCCGTATTGCACTGGGTATTTTCATCGTACCATATAAATGCAAATTCAAAATATGGAATTATTACTCGCGTAACAGTTCTCTATATAATTTTGACCGGACTCCATACAAAGAAGTTCGCTGATTCTGTTATCAGGGGGTAAATCTCTTTTCTCTCGGGGTTCTCCACACGTGTCAGGGGGGAAACTCGTCTCGTCTCTATATCTCGTCCCCTTGAGGTACGGGATCGGGAAAGTCACTTTAACTTTACAGTCAAATAAGACACACATAACGAAATACGTTTCAACTCTCGTCTTAGTCGATCTTTTGGAGCACTCTATAAGACACAGCGCCCTGGGGAAAAGTCCCCAAGACTCTCACAAGGCTGAACCAAGACTCGCCCAAGACTGGACTGCCTCAAGGCTCGCCCCTGGACTGGACTCTCGACTGCGTCTGTCGTGGAGTATTCGCCAAGACCAACTCAAACTCTCTTTATTCATTTTCAAAACTCTAACCAATTACAAAACAGTAAAAGACTCTAGGGCGTAACCTTCAATCATAAAGCCAATCACACTAAGTACTGAATACGTCATATATTTTGATTAATCGTTCACTACATTAATAACTACGGATATAAACTGTCAACATGAGTAGTCTAAAAAGCGGCGGTTATCTGGTAATTAGTTCCAAATCACTGAGCCAAGTTCCGTCCAAAACTTCAAATAGGCCTACACGATGACGGACATAACACAGCAATTCGCTCGTAATCAACTAATTAAGTCGGTTAACAGATACGCGAAAACAAATTCATGACACTGTTCTAAACTTTTTTAAATTTCGGCATTTTCATGAGTTTCGGCATTCTCCTGTACGCCGTCGATACTCCCGCTGTACTGTTTTCATGCATAATTTGAGGTATCCTCGTAATAACCTTATATTATATATGTTGATATTGCACTAATCATGATTTATTTTATTCCCAGTAAAATGCTTGATTCCATGAATACTTCATCTCTATTTAACATTTTCTCTTACTTCTATTTAATTATTTCATAACTGAATTGCCCACTGCACATAAAAGAATTGCATTCATAGATTACCAAACAAATACATACGAAACGATTCTTACAATCAACAGAACTCTTGACTTGTTTCGCCATTTAATAACAGTGCAATACAATTCAATGGAATGAAATACAATACCATTACACATTGCGATACACTACACTACACTACACTACACTACACTACACTACACTACACTACACTACACTACACTACACTACACTACACTACACTACAATACAATACAATACAATATCATTGTACATTACAATACACTACAGTACAATAAAATGAAATACAATACAATACGCAATCGAAGTAAATTTGAAAATATATGTTGGTTTCGCTATTTAGTCAACAATATTAATACTCAGTCTACATATGGTTACTGACATTGAATGGCTCCATTTATTGCAGAGGAAAATGTTGTCTAGGTTTCTGCATTAGTTTACTAGAAAAACTGAAAGAGGACATAGGTTTTACCTATGAGCTTCGCCTTGTCGACGACGGCAACTACGGTGCAAAGGTGGAGGCGGACGGAAAGGAAGATGAGTGGAACGGCATGATTGGAGCAATTGTAAAACACAGAGCAGATGCCGCCATTGGCGCTGTTCGAATTACGGAAGAGAGATCGGAAGTTGTCGATTTCTCGACTCCTTTTATATCAACTGGAATTAGTGTCTTGGTTAAGAAAAAAGACGGAGAGATTCCAAACAGTGCGTTTCTTGGTAAGAGTTCTGTGACCGTCAGTAGTACGGTCTAAGTCTACTAAGTTCAACTGTTCTACCAATCATTTTTTCGCAAAACCTGTTTGGGATTACGACATGCTCCGCACTGGGAGTATAAATATGCATAATATGAACATGATTCTGTTCAAACCTTCATAATCCGTGTAAATGTACGTTGTAGCCAATGTCAACCATATTCTTTTAATTCAAATACATATTGTTTTCGATTTCATAAACAATTCGTCGTGTGTTTTTTTCTGGAGAATGCAAAGTTCCTAAAGTTGACGTAATCTATGTTAGACTTACTCTCCTTATAACCGTTAGCGTATCAACGGGGGGAAGAGCGTGTGGGAAAAAAATGTCATATGTTGACAAATTACCTCTAGGCAAAACAATTACATATCATAATTATTACTTAAAACATAAACAACACATATGCGGTAAATATGTAGTTCTACATTGTACTGGCGACAAAATATCATTATTGTGTCTTGGAACTTGGAATCCCTACCACTCTGCACTCTCACTTGCTGGAAAGTGAACACATTTAGTCATTTAAAAATCTCTGTCGTTGTTGTACGGATGAGACCAATGTTCGTAACTAACTTTTTTTTTGTATTTTATGACCGTTTAATTTCATTCACTTGTTTATGTTGTTGTTTGCATTGGGTTCACATGATATTTTACCATGGAACAATTATTTCTACAAGTACGATCTATACATTTGAATTTACAATAGACGTTGTATTGCCCTCTATTTTCCTATTAGGTTCTTTCCATTTATCTGTCTGGATCTTCCTCCTGGTAATTGCGGTAAATGTGACTGCGGTTGTCGTGTTCATATTTGAGTGGTTCAGCCCGGGCGGTTACGATAGAAACTTCGACAACGGAAGAGGTAAATTGTGTTTTGTAAGCTACTTCCTTAATGACGCACCATGTGGTTGGCGGTTGGTTCATTTCAGTACTTTTTCCCCTGTAGAACAACTCTTGCTGTATTGCGACAAACAAGATCGCACCGATACAGTGCTTTAGTGACGTCAATTGGTAGAAGAAACACAGCATAGAGTGTTGCTGTGGTTTTATTTTTTCAATAAAAAATATCGCTTATGAAAAACTGTACTGCAAATAACTAAACAATCAAAGTACTGTTGTCAGTCAGACAATTATTACCTGAAATACCAACCAGAGAACAACATCCACAATAAACTATGAAAAACGTACATTTCATTTATTATTCTAATATTTGTTTTTTCACAGCTTCCAAATTCACCATCGGCAGTTCAATATGGATGACATACGGTATCCTCTTCAATAACACCGTCCACCTTAACGTGCCGCGTAGCTACACTGCCAAATTTGTCACCAACATGTGGGCTTGCTTCGCATTGGTTTTCGTTGCCATGTACACAGCCGACTTGGTGACGCACATGATACAAGAAGACAGTCACAGGATTATCACCGGTTTCAATGACCCCAAGGTAGATATATCATATTTCCTGCCTTATAAAGAGAAAAGGAATGCCCATTTTAAATCACGTTTTACCCGCCGTATTAGGTATCTCATTTGTTTGTGTCGTGGTACTTCATTTCATTTGTGCAGTGTAACTGAACACACGACAAAAGCCCCGATCGGAAAAATAATCATTTTTTTTATTCTAACGTAACCTTAGGTATTATGCAGATAAACACACATAAATGATAAATGAGTTAGAAATTTTGACCTAATTACATACATAATTATCTACATAGCTGCCGTATCTATGACAAGTTTACCTTCCCACGCTTTTGTTTTTACAAAAAAAATTGTTGGAAAACAATGATGATTGTATGGTTTCTTGCAATAGATTGCAATTAATTGAGATGACGGTTCAGTTTCATGACGTAATTGAAGATACCATACGGATTCTAATCACGTTACCATGATTTGTATCATTCCAATTAGTGATGCGTAATCTTTTCATCATGATCTGTATCATCATATAATACTTGTGCATGACGACATTTATATTAAGCATCTGTACGATATCGGGTATTAATCTTATAAGATGGGCAGCTACATGTCTTAGCTTGTCTCGAAGTGCTCTCACGGGTTTAACGACCACATATATATATTCAGGTCATATAAATGTGTTTAAACAGTATGACTTCGTGGTTTCGGGGATTAGCAGTGGTATATATGTATGTATGTCTAAGAATATAGCGGACACATTGGTGTTAATTATATGTAGATTTTAAAAAAATTCAAAGACCTGTTGCCACAAAATATGGATTCCATTTTTCTGAATACTAGTATTAAATTACGATTTTCCACATGCAATCTTGAAGTCACCTCTTTTCAGTTTAATAACTATTTCTATTTGGTAAAATTACGAGAGCTGCTGTACGGATATTATGGAGTTAACGAACTTGACTTGACTTGACTTCGAACTTGACCTAATTGCATAAAATTAACTAAAAAGGCTAACTTTGTACAAGGTGTAATGATACATATGTTAAATTAGATATTCTATTTCTTACGAGCAACATTCTAGTATCGCCAGCCTTTATGGAGTTGTATCTCTATGTCACGGTGTCCGTCCAACTACATGAATTTATTTTGCTAACGTACTACACTTTTTGCTGGTGATGTTCTAAAACAAGTGGACAGACTTGTAATCATGTTTTACGAATACAAAATATCATAATAAGCACTCACAGAGACAGTTTCAGCTAATTCCAAGCATGATCTACAGAAATTATCAGACGTACACAAATGCGTTTTCATCCTGATAAATGCAAGGGCATCTGGGGTTTACACATCCTTACATTCAGTACATTATGACGAGACCTGGTTATCGCACTCATGTGTTTGCAGTGGTGTCCAGTGAGAACCAACGACATTTACGTAGTAAAACCACATGGGGACTTGTCTTGCATTGCAGAAGCATAAAGTTATTTGCTGTAGAGCTAAATACCTCTAAGTCAGAGCTTGTAAGCTCTGGAATCCCTTGAGCTAACTAGTATTAGAAGGTTTAAAGCTTTTTTTTTCAAATGTGATTGGGATTGGCCAGTCTCAAAACTCTAATTATTTGATTATTGTCTGGAAATTGCTATTAATATTATTAAATGCGTCTGTAACATGTTCAATAGCACGCATTTGACGAAAATGTATTATTTTATAAGATCGGCATGATATTTCAGTCGTTGCGACTTACCTCCGCAGCTGGCATGGCTAGTCTAGTCCTTGGGCGTTAATGCGTCATGAATAATATACTCGAGATGACAACAAGAGAACGAGGTGTACTGTGTTGACACCTTAGGGTTAGGATAAATGATATTCGGGTTGAATAGCCGTGGCACAGAAGTCATGTGTTTTGATGAATAATGTATTGTTGAATTGAGTGACATCTATGCCAGTCCCGCATCATGAAAAATATTGAACTGACCTTTTCCATTTGTCTCATCAGGGAGCTAAACTCCATGGTCTCATCATATCATATCATCCGTGTATCTATTTTTCATCAAACTTGGCATTGAGTTAATTCCACCATCATTTTTTTAAACTATATTTTCAAGCAAGGTAGGGGAAACAATCAATCGGTGCGTTCGAATTTAACAAATAGTTTAGCACATGAATATATTAAGGCTAATTCTTCTTTTTTCATTTTTATATCTGCTTGTAAAAATCGTTTCTCACAATTTGTATCTGAATAATTAATTGTTATATTTTTTTTCTCGTGTTTTATTCAGTTAACTTCTACGCGACTCCCATGACAATAGGTTCATACCTACTGGAGTATTCGGGTTTAAATAAAGATAATATATCTGAATATAATCCAAGAGCAAGTAGCAACTATTCAATATTCTCTGAAGGGAAAGACGCATTTTTACATTAAGAGCTTCGTTATCGCCTTGGGCTCAGATGGCTCGTCATATGCAGAGTAATTTCTTTTGACTGGATTTTGTTGATTATTCATTTATTATTTAAGAGATAATCAGGCGTGCTTTAAAATTATAATGCTGCTACTAGTAAAATTGAGTACGACTAGCAAGGGTGCATATATTAGGACTGACTGACACGTTGCGACTTCAAGTTACACTGAAATAAACAAACATAACATGTACTGCAACAGTACGTGTGTCCGATACATTTTCTCTTTCGAGAATGTCTTACGATGTTAGTATTGTATCTTGTGATGACAAGTCATTATATTTCCGCCACCGTGAGCGAGAACTTGATCTTCGAATAATGCAGGAAATCGGCTTGCCCACCATTACTCCACAAATGGAAATATTGCATGTGTATATGTATTTAAATATTTCTCGGTAGTGTTGGTGGGTAATACACTTTTTGAACTACAGCTAATGTGTCAATAAATCACTTTACGCCATCCCCTTGTTTGCTGGAAAGGACAAACTACTTCAAGCCTGATTCAGTAAAAATTTCACTTATTTGTTTCATGTGATGAAATATTAAATACACTATTAAAACATTGTCTGTAGTGGTGGAACTACGATATACATTGCAGTTAATTGTAATTAGATCGGCACTGCGCCCAATGAACCCTAAACCTCTCAAAAGGCTATACTCAGTCGGCAAGTGAAACGATTATTTAATAAAGCAATGTCGTCTAATGATACTGATAATGATATCTGGTTAGGTAAAGGCGAATTGATACGATGAGTTAAAATCCCGGTGATTGGAACGGTGACTCTATCGACATACGTAATATGGTAGCTTGCCATAAACAGTATCGATCATCTAGACCACATATTGATTGTTTCCGTTAATTCCTCTTAAGCTCAACGTGAGTTTAGAACTTTACGTCATTAAGAGATCTCGTTTGTCACTGGCGTTAATTATCTGAAATTCTCCTTCTGTGTGTCATCGGGTAATTTGTTTTACATTACTTCGCACAGCAGTAAAGCTTTTCATTACTCAACGTCGTACACCGCTATACACGTAATTATCTAGTGAAATAGATACAGTTGTTAATTCCAAAACAAATCAACTTGGAAGTTAATGTATTTTTTACACAATATATTCACGTTAACACGAGCTTGAAGAGATTCAATGATTTTAGGATGGACGTGGTTAGACCACTTTTTAACCCAGGATTATCTAACCTTTGTTACGTCTTTCACTGTAATTGACTATTTTAAAGTCCGCCGGAGAAATATTTGTAGATCAATTTGCCATTAGAAAGAACCGCTGGGGTGGAGTTTAACGGCAATATAGGTAGCAACATAACATATATTATTTCATGTATCTAGATCGAATCTTTTGTGTAGAAACTTTGAAAACTGGATATGTATATACCATTTAAACACAAAACTTTGATAATGTCCATGAACATTACTTGCAATATATCGATCACCTATGTCGTGCCTTTTAAAGTTATCCCTTCAAAGGTTTACTTGAGTGCGTTAACTTGAAAAGACGTAATTAAACATTGGGTCTTTTATTCTATGGATGCTCATATGTTGATAAATCTTTAGAATATTTTTTTTTTGAAAAAACACAATTGGAAATATTTTAGCATTATTGCAATTACTTGAAATCTGTCACTGTATGGAAAGATAATCTCAATTTTACCATTTCTGATATCAAAGAAAAACAAATTCTTTGAAATCGTAAAAATAAATAGATAAATTATTTATGTGAACCAAAACGGTTACAAATCATTCTGTTTTGCAGGTTTGATAAACAAAAATGAGCATTTTAGAAATTGTCACCAAGCAGTGGTAAATTCTTATCTCTATATACGTAAAGTTGCATTTTTAAACACTTATAATAATAATGCTAATGAGTCATGGCCACTATATGTACGCCTCTCAGATGTTAAGACCCCTACGTTTTTGACCCAAATAGTTCAGGGACCACTACAATTTCAAAACACAAGATGCTGGAACCACAATATGTATACCCCAATAACTGCCTAAAATGTCAGAGTCACTTTGTTTTTGCCCTCAGTTGCCAGGTCAGTGAGCATGCTGCACACACACCCTCCCCTCAAATAACTTACTGAACCAACCAACAGCAGCCTGTACATGTATTATGCAGTATATTCACATATATTCTACATTAAACAAGCCATTCATGGCACAGTTCCAATTAGATTTCAAGCTTACTAAATCAGAAATATGGCTCGGAAACAGCATGTAAAAACAAAATGGCCGCCAGTCGACCATTTCGTAGAATTAGAATAAAAGTTTGAGGTTTCCAAGAATATATATTGATGGAGGACAGCCGTATTTCATTACTGCTGAATTTGTTTGTTTGTGAATGCCAATGATTTATATACATTCGCAAAGTTGCAAGTTCAAAAATGTCTTGATTTTACAGATTGTGTAAAACAAAACAAACTTGAATGGGGAATAATTTTTATTTTGTGACTCAATGATAATTTAAAAAACATCGGTAAAAAATAGAACACAGCAGAGCATGGGCTTCTTCAACTATATATATAACAATGAACAATGCCTTCATTCGATCTTATTGTTCCCATCAGCTTCAATACCCACTAAGTTCACGAAAACCACTCCGATTCGCGACGGTGGCTTCAAGCAGCGTGGAGAATTTGATCAAAAAGTCCAACAAGGAGATGCACACCTATATGCAAAAGTTTGTAAAACGTAACACCACCGAAGCGGTCAATGCATTGAAGAGAGGGTAAGCAATTGCATCTGTCTTATATATTCTAAATATAATTTTGTTATGACAAACTCAGAAAACTAGGTCACAATTTACTGCATTTCAGGTGACAGAACTGATGATGCAACCCTCTACAATCTATGTGTTTTTGCTGTTGCGTTATCAGGAATCGCTTTACGTAGATATACATTTATTAAACATAAATTGATTGGCAACATGGGGTAATAGTAACCTACTTTTATCTCGAGGGTGAACACATGATACTTACTATATCATAAAGTTTTTTTCTAGATGGGAAATATAATGTATGTCAGAATTATGCGTATCTTACACAGGGAAAAGTTGCACTCGCGACTTACACCCGCGGCACTGAGTTCCTAACGAAGGGAATTGAGCATGTTGTCGTCTGCTTTAAAAATATATACCATTTTGTAAATTAAAAATCAGTGTACACGCATATAGGAGTAATACTGTTCTTTTTCTACAGTGATGTAAGTAGGATTGTATAACTCACTTTGCATCACGAGATTTGATATTTTTCATCGAGCGCAAACAATAAACAAAAATATGCCATATGCTATCGACTAATAACTATAAACAGAATTTTTGGTTATCTAACCAGTGTTTTTTTTTGCATGATCGCAGCCAAATCTACCAGTGTTGCTGTATTTGAAATACTGAGAATTAATTTAAAACTGTATACAACTGAGTGATGTATTGATAAATTATTGCGCCTCCAACGATACAGAACGACAGTATGTTTAGTGACATAATTACGCCATCAACGGTATATAGCGACTGGATAAATAGATACATTATTGTGCCAGCAAAGATTCACCCTTCAGTCTGGGTACCCACTACCCACTATTTTATCAAATTTGTGTAATCTTCTGTTTCAGTGAACTTGATGCGTTTATTTACGATTCTGAAGTTTTGAATTCTTTTGCTAAGAAGGACGACCATTGTGACTTGATGCTTGTTGGTGATGTCTATGCAAGTACTGGTTATGCTGTCGCATTTGAGAAAGATTCTCACTGGAAAGAGAGATTCGACTCTAACATTCTTCACTATAATCATAATGGTAAGAAATTCCTACGAAAAGGGAAATATAGACAACTGATCATCTACCCTTGATAAAAGTACATGCTTTGAGTGCACAATGTATAATTACTTATAATAATTCGAATATCTGTGGTACTTTCAGATGCCAAGTAAAACGCAGCGGTGTTTTAAAGCGCGGATATTTGGGACGGTATTTACCCAACCTCAACTTCTCCAGAAAAAAAAAATATTTTCACCTATATATCTTGTGGCGATTTTTCAGAGACTGATAAATAACCGCATTTTGAACCGTATTATTACCAGAAATAGTGTCCCCGGAAATAGTGTGAAGTCTTCAAAAATAACTATATTTCTCAATCGTAATAGAGTAAACGAACGGAAATCAGTGTTCACAGTCGGCGATCATTGATGTAAACAAGCAAGGACGATATAGAATATCTTAAGTACGTGCGAATAAATTAGATTACTGCGTTGGTTTTTAGTCTTTAGAAACTACAAGACGAACACATGAATTGACTCTGAAAAAATAAAAATTACTACATGTGTTTAATAAATCTTACATTGAGGGTAACTCGTATACTCACTGAAAATACTTTATATGTCACATGTCAACTGCGCATGACAGTACGTATACCAATATTATGGGAGGTGGGCAGAATAAAAACAGCCCGTCAACTGAGTCATATAAGCATAACGTACGGCTCAGATACTAACATTTTGAGAGAGTATTGTTACATAGTGTATATTAGTACTTGAACACACATTTTGCACCTTTCTCATTTGACGACTAATTACCTAAAAGTGCATTTATCTGCAAAGACAACGATATACAAGTAATCCTACAGTCACTGACGACAGAGAATGACGCAATAATACAGCTCTTTCCCGAACGTAAGGATGGATTTCGACATGAGCTAACGTACGCGATTTCCCATACTATTAAAATGCATTCCGATTTCCGTTCACGGTGATCGTCAATAATATACATTTGAAATAAAAAAACATCTTTTTAAATTCTTTATTTGGATGGTTATTATGTGGGAATGTTCGCATTAGCAATGTGTCTACAATTTTTATAAATTTAAATAGAGATGCAAACAACTACTGTTTTTATTCATACGGCGCCACCTGTGCCCACACGTTTACATATTTTCAACACCAACGCAGGAGGCGCTACCGTCTCAGACGTTTTCCGGTGTCATACGTACAATCATTCATGGTACGCGTGTTAAATTTATTACATTATATGTATTGTTTTCAGGGTTCCTCCAGAAAATAAGCGATACATGGATGGAAAGCACATGCGACACCGTTGGTGGAAACACGGCGTCGCGCCAAAGACTTGGAATAGAAAATCTTGCGGGTGTGTTTTATCTTCTGTCAGCGGGGATCCTGGCAAGTTTGGCGGTGTTTGTCGTTGAACACTTCTGTAGAACGTGCTGTCAAAAGATTCAGTGCTTTGAAGGACATCGGAAGAAACAATCGCTTTCGGTTCTAGTTCAGGTGACAGATACGACCAGATGTTTATACATAAAATACAAATATTATTTATGAATTTTGAGAAACAGAACTAAGTAGTATATTTGGGCTGCATGGCGTTTCCGACGATGAACATATCTATTAACGTTAATCCTAATCACTAGTAACATCCTTACTTGTTCTTTCGTTAGGTCGTTGCACAAAACCTCTCGACTCCACATCGAGTCGCCAAAGATCCAGTGTGTCACAATATCGGCTGTTTACGACAGACAACAGAGTTGCGCCGAACAAGAAGTCGAATAGCGGAACTTGAAAAAGCTTTAGCAAAAAGGTATTTTACATAATCGGAGTTGTATCTTATACCCACGTGCATGTTAGTATACATCTAGTATCTTGTACAGCTATTTATCTGTAATTGCACTTGTATTAATGCGTACTGTATTAATAATATGTGTACATCTCGAATAAATAATATCATAGCATGATTGCGTGCGAACATTCGCATCTGTTACAATATTAAAAGTCTTTACAGCGATCAGAAAATGAATTAACTAGAAAAAATTAACTGATTTTCGTAGAATGTCATCGACTTCAGAGATGTACTCAAATGACCCAAGCGAAGACAAACCAGGCCGTGAATATACGGATACACCACCTCTGGAAAACGGCGACCATCTGCGTTCGTGTGGGCCGTGGCATCGTAAAACTTACGACGACATGGCAGTGGATCAGGAAGAATTAGTGCCACTGAAGCTTTCAGATCAACATGACATAGTTCCGAACAACATATCGTCGTCAAGGCGTCAAAACAGAATAGCTTCCTACCCGGTACAGCTACTAAAAACTTCCACCTTTCTCCAAAAATACAACTCGAGCTTCCTTGAAGAAGAAGAACACTCAGAAGAAAAAAGGAAACGTTGCTTAGTTAGACAGTATTCGGGACAATGCGTTGCATCACTAAACGCCGAGGACGACCTTGAAGAAGTTGACTTGGAAACAACGGTGTAATAACCTTGTACCTTGATATGATTGTACCTTAATTATGTGTTTATTTTTATCCCATAAAAGGGTAATTTACATGAATGAGCTAAACACTGAATATATCTGCACAATCGACCAATTCGCCGCGTCACTTACTGGCATCCCTCACTTTTTCTAGTATATAAATCTTTTTTTGCAATAATGAAATTTAATGCAATTAATATAATAATTTAAACAATATATTTTTTGAGATATCTTCCAATGATCATTGAGACATTATTCGAATATACGATTGAACAAATGTATGAAGAAATCAAATTATGATCAATTACAAACAGGAAGTAGAAAATGTATTTTATAGTTGCGAGTTCCTTGCGTTGAAGATCATCGTCGTGAAAAATCATCCTGGAAACCTTCTCTCGAATACAGTCCTGAGTAGCTAAAAGCAGTGAAAGGTTTGAAAAGTTCGATGAATTCATACGATAATCATTCTATATAATCCTAAGATGTTTTCGCTTAATAATGACGTCAGCAGACACCAGTGATTTTAACCACAGTTGTATACCAATCCGAGCCGTAGGCCACTGACGGTAATATTGACGTCAACATGAAAGAAAATATTGTGGGATTACAGATAAAAATAAAACGACGACGAAGTGTCGAAACAACGATTTTAAATATATTATTTCGCGCGCCTAGTATGTTGTGTTTTCGGTACAAATTTGATCTTTCACGAGAACACGCTTGTTCTATTTGTTAAATATTTGCTATACAACATTTGTTTGAACAACTGAATAATAGTCCGGATAACCTGTATTATTATACATCTGTCACCGTAACGCTATAAGTTACAGGGTGCCGTAATTTTACGGTATTTTACGGGGTATTTTCATTCTACCATATTAAGAAAAGCGAATGCCAATTATGGAATGATTAAGCGTCCTCTAATATTAACAACAAACATGGCTGCCAACAGGGTTTGACCGGACTCCACACACTGAAGTTCGTTGATTCTGCTCTAAACTTTTTGGATTTCGGCATTCCCATGATGTATCTTTGGAAGTAAAAGATGTATAATAATAAGGTTATTAAGACGATACCTCAAAGTATGCACGCAGACAATACGTCGGTCGTCGCTACTTCCGCTGTACTGTCTTCGTGCCTACTTTGAGGTCTCCTGTTACAGTACAACAAAAACAAGTTCGACAATATGAGATGTAAAACTGTGATAAGCATGTTCGGGTGTAGTTGTGTATTATCGAATATTTTGACAAAATTCATACTGTGTATTGATTGAAATTATCAAAAGACGTTTTTTTTTTCACTTTCAGGGTAAATTTTATCTCTACGTTTCGTTCATTTTGCGAATGATAAATGCTTCTCTATACAAACAATTGTAACCCACCTGTTATTATTATCTACACGCGTGGTAAGTGGATCAAGCCCTTCCCCTCATTTATTGAATTTTCAGAATATACTTTGTTACATTTCATGGTGCGTTTGTTACATTTATCAATTAAGAAATTTTCTAATAAAGAAATTCATTCTGAGTTTGTGTTAATTTCTCCTACGTCTGTATGACGCATTTATTTATACATTTATATAATAAAAAAACAATGCAATTATCTCCGAAACACATATTGTTAAATAACATATGTAATGAAGAAACTATACGGTTACCAACTTATCGTATTGCATTCTAATATCAGCAAATCACACTCGAAATAAAGCGATAAACAATTACGTAATCATAATTTTCACAAGTCGCGTAACCAATTGTTCATTGTCAATTGAAGCCCATAGATAGTCACGTAGTAACGGTAGCATAATATATTGTAGTCACAACTCCGTATGTCGTATGTATGTTATTCCACTTACCAACATTATTCGATGAATAACTGGTATTGCAACTATCAGTAAAAGTGTGTATCTAACTAAATCTACACTGTAGATTAATGCGACAACAATCTTGAGCCGTGCTTTGTTATTTACTTTCTACTAATTTTATTTGACAACAACTAGTTAATATAGCTAAAACGTAAAATAGTAGACTTTGCATAGTACATATCACAAATTTGTTCTTTCAAAAAAAAATTAAAATACAATGGAAGTTTGTTACCAGCATATTCTTTGTTGTATCACTCTGGTATGTAGATATCTATTGCTCTCTGCCTAAACATGAACATCTTAAACATTCCCCATCCTGAGCTAACCACACGGCGTAAACTTTCTTTCACTACTGATACCGTGGATGAAGATGATTTGCCATGTATTTTGAAGATTTTCACTTTATGTGGTGACCTGCGCCTACCAAGCAACTTCCTCTTACAAGTACAAATTCCTGGCTTCCGGTTACTTTACTGTAGAAATGTTCAAGAGCTCTACACAAAAATGCTATTTTGTACCTGTGTAGTGTCATTTTACATCCAGATTAATCTGGATATATCCATGATCGCACCACGTTTTAAGAGCAGGATTGATGTTGATAAACTTACATCAACACCTTTATAGTTTAAGCACTTATTCAGGAAAACACATTTAGTAGACAAGATGCCTTTGGTATTGGTGAACGTTTTATAGTATTAGGTAATGCGAAGTTTTTTACCGTGTTAATGACACCCCAGCTATTAAGATAGATAGGGTCATTCAAGATGGATAATTGCTGTCTTCTGTCTATGTAATTGCGAGCGAGATAATGAGCTTCTTCCAAACATTAGCCACCGCAGTAATTGCGTAAAAGGATTACTCGGTGTATAAATGATTGAACTTGTTACGAAATACAAGAAAACGTAAGAATGGACGTCACTGGCTCGAAAACAATCTATTTACCAGTTGAAATCGATTACAACGAGCAAGTAACTATATAACTAAAATACAACCAATAAACGCATATCCATTGGCAATTACTTATTCAAAATTTCACTGACCAATAATACTTCACGCTGACATGTTTACTGACCGGTGCATAGCTGCTATGATTTCTCGTAATAGATGTCTTCCCAGCCACGTGCTGCCAAAGTGACCAATGTGTCCAACATACAACAAGCATATTTACACCAGAAACTCAGCAATACTGCCTTACTTCTCGTATGTACGATAAATGGATGGGAAGAAAACGTTCTACGGAATTCGTGATAAACTAACCGACATTACCAAAATCGGGATATATTTAAATTTACAAAATGTAGGGTCACACATTATTTAGCTCTAAAGCGAAAATAACTTTTTCAACTGTGGATCAAATGGTTTAAAATACAAGTTTATGGACATAACGGCAACTGCAATTAAAAAGTATGGCCAAGGCATTACATTAAATTAATGAATTATAGGTAAATGGATTCTTAGGTATACAGCCGAGAAGTGATGCAACATTTTTCGAGAAGAGCGAGAACGTCCAGTTCAAATAGAAATCCATAACACCGATATGCGGATTTTATAATAGTTTATTCGTCGTTCATAGCCATCACTTATACTTACTGATTGTAAGTAATATATTTTATTTTTAAATGTGTTGAAACTGGTTTTTTAACTGAATTGGACAAAAATTGCGACAGACATACATACGTACATGCATTCAATAGTATATGCTATTGAACAATTGGGAGAGACATGTCTAATATAGCATTCAGAATCGAAGAAAAGCCTTCGGGCATAATCGCATTAGTGTACCTGACAGCTCGATTTGAACATCTACACTGCAATGAACAATCCGACGACTTCTCCAATACAACAACATATCTAGTGAAGTCTTTATATAACATGTCACTACATTTATACACAATTATTATGATTTATTAATAAAGTTACAATATTCTTTATCATTTTATAACTACACAATATGGGGTCAAACATGGACGTATAATTGACAAATTGTATTTTAAGTAGCAACAATGCTGGCGATTTTAATAATTTACCGAAGAAAACGACAAACCAAATGTATGACTATTCTGTTATGACTAAAGAGATTGTTATGATCATGCTCACTATCAGTAATCCAAGGCGCCAGTCTGCCTGACATAAGTGAATGATTTTTTAATATCTACATGGGGCATATCTAGCATCTATTTTTTTTATTGATCAGTAGAGAAAGTTGTAATAAATTGTTTGGTTACATGAAATAATCACGGCATTTTTTGTGCGTGGAAACATAATATATATATTTATGAAATATAAATTCTGTTCATTCGTTTTGCTTTAATATTAACATAATCCATAATAACATTAACGAACAATTACAGCCGCAAATGCCACGTAATTGTACGCACATAAATTAAAAGCCCCGAAAATATAGGATTACTAATTGGTAAAAATTGTTGACTTTGTTTTGTGATATTTTTCATCATTATCTCTAACTATACCGAGCTATATTGGAAATGAGAACTATAAAGATTTGGAATAATTTCGGCAACACACGATAAAGATTAACTATCGCCTGGCACTGACCCTCAAGCATTATTATGCACCTCTTTTCTCGAGATGCCTCTCCCGGAGTGGCGCCTTATAATTGTCCAAGAGAAACAAAAAAAAGCTGCATGTCATGACGCTGTGCACACGTCGTATTAGCCCCACACTATATGTTACCACTGCAGCTTCTAAGCCATTACTCAATCCATTTGCTTTTCAAAATAGATTCCTATAACAAATTAATGACATTAGATATATTACTCTGGACAGAAACATGGTACATAATGAAGTACCAGATTAATAGATGATTGTGTTTTATATAGTGTCCACTTATATATGCTAAGGCAGTGCTCAAAATTAAGATTTGTTTCATAGTGGTTTTTCTATACATGTACAAATCTTAATGATGAATTTTAGGAAAACAGAATTATTTCAACCTACTATTGGGAACAGGAACTTTGAAAACACAATTCACCATTAGGGAACCTGTGTTTTGGCAACATAATTTAATTCATAAAATATTGTAGAAATCCATCTTTAAACACACAACACACTTGGTAAATTAAAGCCCAACCTGAGACATATTGAAAGGTAGAATTAGTAAGAAATAAATCTAACCGGGAATAACAACTGTTCTATATATACTAGGACTATTCATATGACTTAATGGGTCGGGGGATTTTGGTGAATTTATCTCAATCTAACTGTCTGTCACCAAAGGCGCCAGACAGTCTGGCAGTGTTCATTTTTTTAATAAATACATGGTACATAGCTAATATTAGCGTATTCAGTAGAGAGAGTTGCAGGGAAAAGTTTGGTTAAATCGTATAATCACCACATACATTATGTGTGGAGAGAGTAAAATATTTTAATGAAATATCTTACCGTCTTCACTGTAGTTTTATTTAACATTGAAATTTCAAGAATCCATCATAACTGACACAAACCAGTGCAACTTTAATGCCGACTTGAGTGCACGCCACACAACCTGGGCCTGTAAATATAGCAGATTACAAGAACTAATAAAATAATAAAATACTACTACTTACTGCCGCTCGCACTGTATACATATTAAGGACCTAAATATTTAGAATATTTTCGAAACCCGACGCGTGGATCCGGGTATAACCACTGGTGGCTCTGTATACAATCGAAACTTATTTAGGCTTGCCAACGCTCACGCCGGTGATCAGTGTGAAAAGCGGAGATACTTGTTAAATTTGGTGACCAGTTTAGTATGTCAGAAAGCGTGCACAGTCTTCAAATAACCACAATTGCAATTGCAATTTACGTGTTTACGTTCAGCATCGTCAGTGAGGTTTGTCAGTGTGTATTCGAAGCCTACAAATAAGCGACGCTACCAGGTATATACACAAGACATACCAACACGCCAACCCAGCGACTGCCCAGATTGCAAAAGATTTGCAAACACTCCCATAATGTTAAACATGCAATTACATTTCTGGTTCCCCCATAACTCTGAATATAGATTAATCTGGAAGCATAAGCATCTCTACTTGTACGCTGGGGCACATTATAGATTGCCAAGGGAAACCCCGGATAGCCGTAATATCATACAGGTGTGTGCATGTCGTATACATTTTACACAGTTTGTTATCATAATGAATTACAGCTTCAAGACTGTTACTCCAAAAAAGTAATTCTTTCGGGTGGCAACAACCGTTCGATATAGCAATTTAATGGCATTATTTTTGCATGGCAATGGATTTAGTAGAAGTAGCGTATTTTTAGATGTGTTTTTCCTAGTGAGAATTTTCAGCGAAAGTGACACCACACTGCTTTCAGTGATGCAAATCCACACACATGCACCGATACCTACATGTTACCGGAACATGTCTGTGTCGTTTATGGCATAGCTCAACGCCCCTCAAGGAATTTGATGAATTTGTGATATATTTACGCATTGGCAGCCTATATGCTAGGTCGCTCCATTGACTAGTGCAGGAGGGATCAATGTAATCACACACACCAACAACGAACACGACACGTACAATACTTAATCCCTTTTAATTGTATATTCACATGAACATTAGACACCGACACTTTAGTTTTTAGAAATTGCAAAACATTTTATGAATAATTTAGGGATGAGACCTAGGTTCGTGGGCGCTTATATTTACACCTG